CGCGGGCGGCGTCGGTCTGGAGCGGGCAGGCTGCGCAGGCAGGCATGCACAGGCACACGCAAGCGCAAAGGCATGCACCCTGCAAGGCTCTGCAGCAGCCGGCCCCGCACCCCCCGCCCGCCTGCTGTTCCTTGTTCCCTGTCCTCCCTGCCTCCCTGCGCTCCCGCCCTCACTTTCCTCCAGCCGTCTTCCACCTGCCCCCTCCCTCCCTCCCTCCCTCCCTCCTCCCCCCCCCTTCTGCCCCCCCCTCCCCGCGCTCCCTCCCGCCCACCTGGCCGCGCTGCACGGTGGTGAAGCAGATGTTGTACTCCTGGATGATGGAGGGGTAGAGGGAGTTGAAGTCCAGCAGCAGTACAAAGCGGTCGTACAGCCCCTTGCGCGGCTCCAGCACCAGGCCGCCCGCGTACTGCAGGCGGGACGGGGCGGGACGGGGCGGAGCGGGGACGGGAGGGAAGGAGGGGTGAGCAGGGCGGCGCATTGTGTGTCGTGGCGCAGCACCCGGCTGCCCGCGTGCGATGCCGTGCAGTGAGGGAAGGCAGGAGGGAGGCACCGGTGCGAGCGCTCGAGGCAGGCGAGGCGGTGCCGCCAAACGGCGCCCCAGTTGTGCGTGGCGGGCATGCAGGCCGTATCAACAGAGTTGACCAAAATGTTTGACCAAACTGTTGGACGCTCCATCGGAGCGACTGTTCGCACATAGGGTGCACCCAGGTGGGCGCGGCGTGGAGGGCTTGCCTGGGGCCCTTTCGACTTCTTGCCTCCAGCCTTGGGCGCGCCGCCCTCCTCGCCCTCCTCGCCCTCCTCTGGGCCGGCGGCTCGCCTGGCCAGATGCTCTTTGTCCTGCAGACAAAGGAGAGAAAGAAAGGAGGCCAGCCAGCGGGGCGGGTCAGCTGCCAGCATCAGGCTGGGCGGCATAAGCGCGAAGGCAGCACATAGAAAGAGGCAATGGGTTCGAGAGCGCCGGCGCTCCCCAGCAGCAAGTGGGTGCTGCGCGCGGCGTCTCCAGAGCAACGCAGGACACTGCCCAGTGTGCAGAGGCGGCATGGCACCTCCCTGCTCTCTGCAGCGGACCCTGCGCACACACTCGCCCGCCAAGCGCCACCTTGGGCACGGCCCCACACTCCCAGCACAGCCGCCGCCG